TCTTTTTAGTTTTAATTGTGATTGTAAATTTCCATATTAATATATCTCAAGGATTTATTTTTGTACATGTTATGAAAACTTTTTTTACTTCTAGTTTTGGTTACTCATTTGTTAGTGTTAAATTTCCTTAACTTTTATCTTTTTAGTCTTTATGTTGCTGATGCTTGTCTCTGGTGCACGATCAGTGCTCTTGCATATTAGCAATATCAAGTGAAACAAATATTCTCGAACTTACTGGTTCATAATCTTCCCACATTCCTTCAGGTCACTAAGTTCTTAAATCGGATGCAATTGCATGCCAAGCAGTCTACGTCTGCTAAAAAGCAGTGTAACTTTATAGTGTCGGTACCTCCGACTAGAAGTGATGTTCTTCATCCATGTGATGTTATGGAGGTATGGATAATGACAGACTTTCTCATTCCTGAATGTATATTGGATCTAGTGTGTGGTGTGTATGTTTTACTGACAAGGCGTGCCTTTTTTATTTTTGGTTTTTTCTATCTATAGGATGTCGCAATTGCTTATGGATTCAATAGTATTAAGGATAAAGCTGTAGCAGATAATAAGGGCTCAAAGAGGCTGGCTGGTTCCCTGACTCTACTTCCACTGAACGAGATAAGTGACCTTATCCGAAAAGAGGTATAAAACAAAATAACAGAACATATTATTCTTGTGATTGGAGAAGTTGATGTTTCATGTGTAAATTTCCATAAAATGTCTTGATCTTCTTTTCAGGTTGCATTGATTGGGTTTACAGAGGTCTTGACATTTATACTCTGCTCTAAAAAGGAAAACTTTGCCATGCTTAACCGCAAAGACGATAAATCTAGAGCAGTTATCATTGGAAACCCCAGATCTTCGGACTTTGAGGTTTAAACACTTTATCTTTCTTTTCTGACACTGTTAAGCTTTATAACTATTTATTTAATTGCAATGAAAACATAAGATCTCTTAAAATGGCCCCTCTTCACATTGTTTCTTTCTTTAGTTGTTTTGCATAGTTCTTGTTGGTGGTTTATATATTCTTTCCTGTCAGCAAACAGTTTTGAGTTCTTATAGCCTTTACTTATGTGTTATGTTATTGATTCATCCTCTTTATTTTCATGATCTTGGTACTGTTATACATGACTATTTTTGGTTAATTGCAGGAGGAAATTATACATAGATACACTATTCATGCTAATTTTAGATGAAATTAAGATAAATGAAAATAAGAGCATGCTACAGTATACATACAAGAGGATAGCAATGCAGATGCATCCAGCTGACCATCTAGAAATCAATTCACAAAGCTTACTCCTTATCTTTGATGATATTTTCTCATTAGATCACTGTTTTATTTTCCTTTTTTTTTGTACCCTATATTGAGTTGGAAACATCGGAACTGATATTCTCCTTTGTTTTTTTGTTTTTTTTTTGCTTTCATTTTTTCTTGAAGTCATGTACTGTAATTTTTAAATCTTACCTGTATTCAGGCTGTGCGAACTAGTCTTATGCCTGGCATTTTGAAAACTGTTGCTCACAACAAGGATCATCCAAAGCCTATAAAGGTATTATTTTCAGTTCTTCCTTTGGGTGTTTGGTTTTTTTTATCATAAATCTTTACAACCATATTTTCCGTTTTTGATTTAGTTATATATTTCAATCTTACATTTTATTCTGTATTGTAAATTATTGTCCAAATCATTATGTTATTTTAACATTGAGCATGTGCTGTTAATGTGAATGTATCTAGAGAAATTAATCTTTTGTATTTGTGATATCATTTTTAAAGAAAACAACAATAAATGGCATATACATAATCGGAAAACAGTAAAGAAAGCCTTAAACTGGCTTGTAATGTAAATAAAAGCTGCAAATGAAAGGAAAAGTAAACGTAAAAAGCAATTGGAAGTTGGAACAAAGATGATTTTGCGGTGTCTGGGCACATCTTGAGTGGCTTATAAATTCTTCATATGGACTGCTGCAAAAAGTGTGTAAGCAGTAACCGCTTAAACTGTCTCATCCCTTGAATTTGAGTCTTTTCCCACTCGGTCTGTCTTCCTTTGTCATTATTGAATAATAGGGCCTTTATTAAGTCATTTGACTTTGATTTCATCCTCCAAAAACTGTAAAATTGTTTTTTGTACTGTACCCTGCCATGATGTTATAACATGTGTCCAATTACCTTTTGTTTAAAACTTCCTTTTAGGTGCCAGAGACAATTGTTGATTTAATAATTAATTAGCATGTGCAACTTTTAGTGATTTTCATTCAAAAATATTTCAAGGCATGGTAGTGTCTTTTGAAGATTCAAACTTTCAAAATTATTGTTTACTCTTCCTCTAATGTGTACATTTCTATTTTTGTTTTTCTTTTGTGTTGCAAGTTTGTAAGAATACGTATCTATCTTAAATGTGTTTCAGATTTTTGAAGTGGGTGATGTAGCACTTCTGGATGATACTAGAGATGTTGGTGCAAAAAATCTTCGCCAACTTGCTGCTCTGTACTGTGGTGCTAATGCCGGATTTGAGGTATATGACGCTTCATTTGGTTGTTTGGTATTTCAATACAAGTAGCTATATTTACTTGATTGACTAGAACTCCGGTACTGCTTAGAATTTAAAGTAGCTATATTTTCAACAAAAAATCATATCTAAAATAAATTACTGCTTTTCACTTACAATCTATTATTCCTTGACATGGTAAAAATAAATGGGATGGCTGTATTTCAATATATATATATATAAATATCCAATTATATGCAGATAATTCACGGCTTGGTCGACAGAGTAATGGAAAAGAACGGTGTTCCCTTTGTTTCACCTGGTGATAAGTTGGGGTATTACATTGAGCGGTCAGATGTAAGTGAATAACATTGCATAGGAGTTGTCTTTTTTATTTTGTCCTATTTTTGCGATATTTATTCTGCTTAAGATAATTTATGTATGACTCATTTGCCCATTGAAGGAACCCGAGTTTCTTGCCGGTAGACAAGCTAGAATCATTTACAAGGGAAAGCATGCCGGCACTTTTGGCATTGTTCATCCCGAGGTACTTGTAATCGCTAAAATTATGTCATCGTCTTGTTGTAATATGTCCAAATAGCATATAATCTGCAATTCCTTTTTTTTAAAATTTTGGTAATATATTTTTTAGGTAGTCAAGGTATATATAATATGCGTATTTTGGGATGCGTGAATGGAAATTAAGTACTGCATAACTTTTTTATCTGTTCACCTGACCATGGTTTCTACCTATGTTTTTCCATACAGTGACATTATTCTTTCGGAACGAAATATTTTGGAGTCGTATATAATACAACTATTAATTGTGTTTTTATATATACTTTCAGGTACTCAACAACTTCGACATTCCTGATCCATGCTCCTTTGTTGAACTTAACATAGAAAGCTTCTTGTGATCATTTGTATCAATTAGTAAGTGTCATCCGAAACTTATTCTTGTTAGTTTTTATTTTTTTTTCATGCTGTTGCTCATGTCATTCACCTCTATTCCCCGAACTGCTACATTGCCTCCTTAGGTAAAATTCTGGCTTGGTTTTTATGCAGGTACGCTTTGACCGAATCACGCTTCAAAAAATATATAGATATTTATCAAACTGGGAATCACGATGCAAACGCCTTCTTCCCCATACATGTCTGGTCTGCAATTAGAACTACGCTTGCTGGGAAGCGGAATGTAACTTAGGGTGTTTTGTTCATTATATAGATGTATTATTTTTTACCGAGTTTTGTCGTTATTACATGTTTAGAATATCTGAAGTTACGAATTTGTTAATAGGTATAATCTCTACCATAATTAGTTATTTTCAAACACGCTTAATTTTGGTTTTAAATCGAGACTGCAAGGATATTGATTCCTTTGAAAATTGTCAATACAAAAGGTGTCTGCTGCTTGGGCTGCGGCAGTTTTTCTTGCCTTTTAGATTAGGGTGTTTCTTTCTCCGCTCTATTTTTTTTTCTGCAAATCTATAATTCTCGAACTACTTGTCATTAAAATTATAATATAAATCTTTAACTTTTGTTTTAGTATTTTTTGGATTGGATGCTTGAAGGCATTTTTGAAAACGAAAAATATTTTTCAGAATATTCAATTCAAAAAGTATAAAAAAACATTTTATATTGAATATTCCACTAAATTTGGTAATATCTTTTGGAGCATCTAATCTCAAATATAAAATTGTTTTTCAAACTGAATACTTTAGAATGTAATTATAGATTTGAAAATACATTTTAAAATATATTAAAAATTATATTTGAAATGGAGTGTTTTGAAAGGTATTTTTAGATATGAAAATATTTCTTCAAAATATTCTTTTGGATTGAATGTTTTGGAAAATATTTTTTGAAATGTTTGTTTCGGAATATCAAAAAATATTGTTTTCGAAATGGTGAATAATAATAATAATAATGTAATAGTAATACCAATCATAGTGATAATAATTGTCCTAATAAAAATTCAAAATCGCATTTCATTACTCCAAAATTTTGTCTTGTGTAAGGTTTTTAAATCCAGTTCATTCCAAAATTCATTTTCACATTTTTACACGTTGTAAATCTAAAGATAATTTGTCATTTTTTTTTATCAAAATCTATGTCATTACCACTCAAAACAATGTAAAATATAATATGTACTCGTTTCACAAAAAAAATGTTTTAACTAAGAATTAGTATTTCTCACTTTTTTTCTTTTAGAAATTTGAACAAAAATCGTTCTCTAAATCTTACTTCATTCTCCAATTCCATAATTCGGTCAAGAAAATTAAGATGGTTTCTTGTTTTTTTTAAAGATTATTCCAATATATTTATTAATTCAAGTATGACATTTAATTACAATAAAAAAAACTCCTCAATAGAAAAAAAACATTAATAATTCAAAAACATATTCACATCTTTATACAAATTGTATATTACAAAGAAGTATTTATAATTGTAAAACAAAATGTTACAAATACTCTCTTACAAAAAAAACTGATAATTTGTATGATTGAAAGATAACTAAAACTAAATAGGATGGAATAAAACATTATAAAAAAAATTTAACTCAACATCCCACCTACAATTTTCACATGAGTTTTTAATATTATTATCATCGTCTTCACTATCCACTATTTTCCAAGAGTGACACTTCTTCATATTCCAACCATTGCATTGTCTCTCAGAACATAAAGGAGTTGAATTGCGCACCAGTGTTCCATAAGGTTTTCTCCATAAGTTTCCCAACAAAGTTACTACTTTATTTCTACACCTTACAACACACTTGAGATTTTTCAGAAATTGCATATACTCAACTCCTTCTTTTCTTAAATCACTATCATATGAACATAATAAGATCAAACCATATACATATTTTGCTTCAAGATAACCCTTTTTGGCAGCCATTTTCAAGTCATTAATGCCTTTTTCAATATTTCCCTTATATCTGATTATTTCTCTTAATCCCTCCCTATACAAAGCTTCAATATTTCCACTTTCTTTACAACTTTGCATGAAAATATCAAATGCCCTTGCCTTTTCTTTACATGACCATGAAATCAAAGAAAACTTTTCTAAAGAAATTTGTTGCCACATATAATTGTCTTTTGTGGCATGCAAAAAATCTCTACAACATACTTTCATGTTGTAATGATCAATGCAAGATTCAGAACTTACCTTTGCAACCACATTAAGTAATAAGTCTGTGGGAAGTGATTTGATTGGAAACAATGTAGATTTGTCATCTTCAGTGCGTTGTCTTTTGTTATCTTTCTGAAGTGATTCTTCCATTCCAATCAAATGAGCATACTCATTGCTTTCATGGCATTGCCTCTTCTTGGACTGTGCCTTCATCGATTTTGAAGTTGTCATGTTTACTTGATATTGAGATTCAAATTTGAAGATTCAAAATAAAAAATTGTATGATAGTGAATGATGAAATATGTCTCAGTGTGAGTTATATATATAAAAGGTTTAGAAGATTTATACGAAATATTTTGTATATAAATCAAATATGATAAATACATATTAAATATCAATTTTTATTAACTTTTTTTAAATGATTATAGTTTTATTTTATCTTATCTTATCTAATATAATAATTACGAGTGTGATAGTTAAAAGGAAGATAAATTCCTTTAAAAATAATAAAAGATATGAATATTACTGTCATACATAAAAATAAATTATTTGATTTAAAAATAAGTTAATGGTTTATTTTAAAACGAGTAAAAATGTGAAAAGATATAAATTATATATACATATAAACACTAGCCAAAATAATAGATATTGATATCTATTTAATCTTATTTACCATTTTAATCTGTTTTATAATATTTATCTTATTAGTTCTAAAAATAATAAATAGATAATGTAATATATTTTAACCCCATTTACCACGTTGATCTATATCAATATTATGTTATTAATTCTGAATATACTAAATAAATCTTTTTTGTGTACTTTTTTCTTTACCAATTGATATTCTATTACATTTATTTTATTGATTCTAAATATGATGAATTAATATTTTATTTTATGTTATTGTGTTTCACTGTCTATATTATCTTATTTGTCGATTTAATTTTATAAATATCATGTTTTGATTCAAACAAACAATAAATAAATATTTCTAAGTATTTTTCCATTACTATTTAATTTTAATTATTATTTACTCTGAGTATGATAAATAGATAATTTATATTTTTGGTCAATTTAATATTTTTACCAAATTTCTTTAATTGAATTTGTATATTAATCGATTTTGCAATTTATTTTATCTTGTCTGCCCATTAAATCTTTCGCCAGATAAATAATTTTTGTGATTTTTATTTATTACGGATTTAGTATTTTATTAATATATATTTTATTGAATCTGATACAATAAATGAATATTTGTCCTATTATTCAATTTAATCTTATTAATTGTGAGGATGATTAATATTTCTAACCATATATTTTATCCAATTTATCAGTTTCATCTTTTACCAATATTATCTCAACGATATTTGAAAGTGTGAAATGAGTGTTTCTATTAATTTTATATAATATTTATAATTTAATATTTTATCATTGTTGATGATGAGAATTTTATTATACTATTAGATAGTATATTTTTCTTATTCTATCTTATTTTAAGAGGTTAACTTAAATATTTATTTAAATTTTAATTATATATATTATATTATTTTTATATGTGACTTGTAATGAACGAAATGTTAAAGAAGAAACTATATATATAATGTAACTTATATGAAAGAGGAAAAAACAATAATGGTGTTAAATAATGACGTATAAAGTTATTTTAAATGAATAATTAGTTTTTTTTTTAAATTTCTGTGTAAATAATAGACTAATAATTTGATACCGAAATATAAAAAATTAAAAGAGTTATTTACGGTAAACTAAAAATATGTAATAAATATCAAAATTTATAATATAATACTTTTTAAAAATAAAATTTAAATCATATTATTTCTAAATAATATATATATATATATATATATATATATTCTTAATTTTAATTATGTGTCTTATTTGAAATTAACATATACTTTTTATTTTATATATCTTTATTTATCATATGAAAATAAAATAATAAAATATATTATTTATTCTACAAAATCATTCTAAAGATTTATAACTTAATTAGACCAAGTCAAAGGTGGATGGTTTATTTTTTTCATCTCCAGTAAGTTATTTTATTATCACGTTTTAGTTTTTTTTTTTCTTTCTTTTTTCGTTCTCTGTTTTAATTTTATGAATGGACATATTTCATTTTATAATTTTAAGAGTGACTTTAAAATATTATTAAATATAAAATAAAAAAAATTGAGTATATGTTCTTATAAATACTAATTTAATTATATTAACATTGTTAGATTGACTAAAATAAATAAATAAATATTTCTATGCATTTTTATATTAATCTCTAATTTAATATTTTTTAGTAATACTATCTTTTTTACAGCGATCATGATAGCCAGAGATTTTATCTATCGAAACATGATAATAGATCTAGCTATGTATTTAATTTTATTGACCAGAATAATCTTTTAATAATATTATAATAGTTATGGAAATAATAAATTGATCATGTTACTTAATTTATCTTATTTATACAATATTATTTTATAGATTTTTTTAATATGATAAATAACTTTTTCATACTATTTTTCCCTTCACTACATTATTATTTCATTGTATTTATTTTATTGATTCTAAATATGACTAAGAGATATTTTATTTTATTTTACACCATCTATATTATCATTTGCCGCTTTAATTTCAGAAATATTGACTCTTTGATTCTCGGCGAATAATAAAGAATACTTTAGGTATTTTTATAAATAAATATTTATTTTATTTACTACGAGTATGATAAATAAACATTTTATCTTATTGGGCGCAATCTAATAATTTAATGTTTTTACCAATTTGTTTTCTTGAATCTATATAGGCTTAATTTTACTCCAATTTGTTTGAAAAATTCAATATGATACATAAATTTTAATTAATAAAATTAAATCTTTTTAGTTTTTAAAAATATCTAATTATGTTTTTTTATAGATTGTGTTAAAGATTCATAATATTTTATATTTATTTTATCATTTTTCTTAATCTGTTGCGTTTGGTGTAACATTTCATTTTTAATAACACTAATATGAAAACATCACATATTCAATAAATAAAAATAGTTAATTTAAAATAAAACATATGAAATATGTTATCTAATAATAACCATAACAACAAACTTTATATACAACAACACTCTAACACTATGAGTTTCTAACTTTAAAGATACTAGCACTATTCAATTTATTCTATGCTTCTCTTCCAAGATCCATCAAACTTGTAATTATTTCGATGATTACATTGAGCCCAAACCATTACTCCTTTAACAACTTCTCTACCCGCTTCTTCTACTTTTACACTCCAAAAAAAAATATTTGATTAGGAACCATTGACATTGGTTCTACTTTAGACACCAAGACAATATTGAATGCCACTACTCCTAGGTGGTAATTCTACCACAACTACAATCACGCACTTCTATTATTCACTTGTCTTTGTCAAACATCTTTGATTCACATAAAACTTGCCCACATCTTTTAGCTTAATCCATATTCGATGCATAACTACTAGTTAACCCTTTTGAAACCAGGAATATCTCTGGAAGATCGAAATCCACTAGAATGAGATTGGAGAACTACCAATCCACTCTTGATATAAACTTTGATCCTGAATCCTTTGATCACCACAAGACATGTCACACATTCAAGAAATTTTCACTTGATCACAACTATAGAAAAACGATCCACTCAACTTAAAGCCCTCTTCAAGAATCAACTTCTTCAACTTTATCTTATCTGGCATACAAACTCTACCTCTAAACCTCAACACACCATCTAACCCCATCCTCAACACTCTGGCTTGAACCGTATCAATCAACCTCACTATACTTTGTAGTTTAGGATCCAATAACTATTTCTCTTTGATCAAACTTAGAAGATCACTAGATATAGTTAGGCTACTACGTTTAATGAAATAAGTTCCAAACTTCTTGTGCAACTCCAAGTCTCTTAACTTCTCAACCCATTCAAGCTCTCTGATCATTTGTGATAACCACTTCAACAACTTCTATCGTAGACACCCTTTTAGCTTTTTTTCAAGACTTTTCTTCTCCTTTATTCATTCATTGTGCTTCAAACTCACTAGCATAGATTTTCCTTACAAAACTGATTTTCTATTGTGCTTCTTCCTTCAATGCTTGGAATCTTTCACCTTAGCCCACAGTCAACCCTTACTTATGTACTAATCACTAATCTTGAACATCTTAACTAATCTTGACTTCGATTTGACACTTGTTGAGAAGGTCCAACCATCTTCTTTTGATTGTTGAACTAAGCACAAAACCTTAATGATACTTCATTCTTATCAATACTATGTTTTCCTAACTTAGAAAACCCACCTTACCTGACTGCTTCTCAAATGTTATTTCAACTTAGTCTCCTTTCCTAAAGATTGATCCCTTTGTTTACTTTAAGATTCATATATCCTTCATGTTGGAAGTCCCATGAGATAAGGCCAAATTATAATATATAAGTGGGATGCAAACCTCACCATACAAACTGGTTTGTGAGGATGAGTTAGGCTTAAAAATCACTTTCTAATATGGTATCAGAGTCATGCTTATAGCCTATCCTAGTAAGATCTATATGAGCATTTTGTTCCACCGTTGTTGAGTCACTATTGGACTACCCATTAATTTTATTCTTACGCTCGAGATGTCTATACCTCGGTATGAAGGGGGTGTTGAAAGTCTCACGAGATAAAGCCAAATTATAATATATAAGATGCAAATCTCACCATACAAGCCGGTTTGTGAGGATGAGTTTGGCTTATAAACCACTTTCAAATAATTCATAACTTTAATCTCAAATCTTCCACCATTTTCCTCATCTAACATCCGATGTTGCAGAGATGTAAAATCATGTTCTCTTTGGGGTTGGTAATTTAATAAATTTATCTATTTTTCTTAATAATCTTGTTCTTGTATAGAGAGTTCATAATTTATTGCATTGTGAAACCGGTTTTCTTTTATTTGAACATTATGTACTTCTTTTTCTCAATTACGTTTCTTAGTTTATCTTTATGGTGCTTTTGGTATCTCATGTCACGAAATACGTAAATTTTCTAAACGAATTTTCAGTTAAGTAATTTCATTCCTTTCTTACATTTTTCAGGCAAAGAACATTAGTTGCCATCAGAAATTCTTGCATATAATTGACGATTCCCCTGTGTCCCTGTATTATATGACAGTAAGAGGTATTGTGTTTTCATAGTATCCTTATATTTAGATTTTCAAAGATTTGAAATCTTGGCTCTAATCTGTGTTAGGCTAAAAAAAAGTGATGTATCCATATTATATTTTAATGGAGATGGCACACCATTGAGGTGCCCACCATGTACGCAGTTCGGGAAGTGTAGATTCATGTAGATTACCCCAAATTTCTGTTTCTTGGAGTGGTAAGCAGTAACTATAATGCTTGTCCAACTACCAATACTCACCCTCATATCTGAGGATAAATTCGGCTAGAAGTTAAAAATCTGTGGAGAAAAAATTCACTTAGAGAATGTTTAGGGTAACACTAACAATTTTGGCATGATGGGAAAAAAATATTGACTTAACAGCTGTCTCAAAGTTTAATTTTGATATCTTATTGGTTTGAATTCCAATTTATAAAAATTAAACTGACAGGTTTTGAGCATAAAATATTCATTTAGTGAATTCAATGTAAACACATGAGATGCGTTCCCAGTTTCCCACTAAAATTTGACAAGTTTAACTTGCTGGAATTCTTTTAATTATTGCTCCTTGTAAAATTTCTGTTGTTTGTGCATTTTCTGAACAACTAACTACTGATTTATCTGTCTACAATATGGAAGTTTCTCTATCTTACATTACTGGATTGATTATTTTTCTGCTTCATATTGAATGACGTGTTCATGCACTTACTATTAACAACTTTACTGTATGATTCAAAATTATTTGGGATGCTTCTAGTTGCTGATTATGAATGTCTATTTTTGTAACAATGTTACTTGATTATTTGAATTCTCGGTTATAATAGAAGTGCTTTCAACATTGTTGTCATTTTGGCTCGATTCCTGATCTTGGCGTGAAATTTGTTAAATTTGTGCTTCATAATAGAAAATGACTAATTAAATAATTTGTTAAAAGTAAGGTATAATTAAAGTTGAAGCTTCCAACAGGTTTTGACGTCATAAATTTCTTTTTCTTGGTAATTTTGTGTCCATATTTTATTTTTATGTTCTAAAGATAATCTCTTTTTTTTTTCATGTGAGACATGCACATAAGAATCAAAAACTCAAGCAAGATAGAATGTTTACTTGTATTCAGGCTGGGCGAACTAGTCTTATGCCTGAACATTTTGAAAACTGTCGCTCACAACAAGGATCATCCAAAGCCTATAAAGGTATTATTTTCAGTTCTTCCTTTGTGTGTTTGATGTTTTTATCATAAATCTTTACCACCATATTTTCCTTTTTTGATTTAGTTATATATTTTCAAATCTACGTTTTATTCTGTATTGTAAATTATTGTCCAAATCATCATGTTATTTTAACATTGCTACCATTCGATGACCAGAGATATAACTTTGGGCATGCCCTGTTAATGTGAATGTATTTAGAGAAATTAATCTGTTATATTTTCAACATATATATAGTATATAACTACGGGAAATTCAGTCCAATTAAATTTGTAGGTAATTTTAAGATTCTGAAATTGACACATACAGGAGTAATTATATAGTGGGTAAAACACGCAGCGTCCAGTCCAACTAGATTGATGAAAATGACAAGTTCACATACTCTTCATGATACCTACAAATTCTTCAATGTCGTCTAAGTTCTTATTTGAGAGTCCTGGAAACATGAATAATCAATTAAAGAACAGAATAGAGTTTAACTAGCAAAAGTTGATGCATGTTGCACTACAATGAATTAAATTTTGGCTACCTTTAGCAGAATGTACAGCAGATAGATCCATTTCTGTGCTATAGATCCTTTTTGTTTTCATTTGGTCAGTCTCTTCAATCATGCTGGAGTTTAGCTTTCCCAACTTCATTCTAAGTTCTGAGGCAGTGGTCACAATCTCTGCAGCAATCAATGGTTTGTATAAAGATCTGTCAACTCAGACGCTTAATATGATTCAACTATGTTTGACAATAATTCAACCAGAAATTGCATTTTTGTTGCCATCATATGAGAACAATATAGGACACCGGAAAATGTTGTTAGCATTATTTGGCAGGACCTTAACATCCCAATCCATAGGCACCAATGATGGTGCCCCTAAATAATTGGTGTGGTTTTTAAGTACAAAGAACTAAAGTAACCCTTCTTACAACTGTTTTGTCAAATTCCTATCAGATAAAAAACGACGTATAAAAAAAATCAGAATAAAATGACCAATACGATCATGAACGTACATCATTTAATAAAATGACCAAGGTATGCAACTGTAAAAGAAAAAAGAATAAATAATGGGAAATGCCGTTTCTGAGGATCCGTAAAAGGGATTTTCATAATAATTAAATCACGTTCTATCTGAATTGTACATAACCTAAGAATTCAATGTTCTTGTGGTTCACTGACTGTAAATCAAAAGCAATATGCAGGTGTCGAAACAGATACCGTTTAGAAATGGAGTATCCCCTGCTTGATTAAAATGGAAAGCATAATTTTGCTATAAAAAATAGTTCAGCGGGATTGAATTGTGAATACTGATGGTCAAGATATGAGCAAAAAGACGAGGAGCTCTTTAATTACCCTGAAACAACTCATTCATAGAGTTTTTCTCATATAATTGTACTGCTTCATTGATATATCCAGCATTGACAGTAGACTTTCTTTCTAATAGTTGAATTTCTTGATTAAGCATTTCAGAATCCTTCGCCACCTGACAGCATACTCATTACCAAGACAAGTCCAACAATAATCAATTCTGAAAAAAAGAAAGAATTTAGCAATCACCATTCTTATTACCTCAGTTAATTTCTCTCTCAAAGAATCTAACTGAGCATCTATATCTGGATCAAAAGGAGCACCTGGATCATGGCCACTCTCAGTTGATTCATCCTGGAAGTACACATTCTATCATGGTCAGACAATCAACCAAGAATGAAAATTTATACTAAGGAAGCAATAAACCAGCACATATATTTTCTACGTATGACTTAGGGTTTAGATGTCAGGTTTTCTGGTATGCACTTCAAAGGACACATCCACCATACCCAAAGCATCATATATAACATTAACAACGAAATAGTAATGTTATAAAGGCCAATACGCGCAAATAAAAAATGAATTAATACTTAACTTGAGTTAAAAAAGAATGCTTAAAAACAGTAATTGCAGCAGAAGATACCGTGTTTGGCAAACGAAAACCTCGGGGGAGAGAAAAACAGTGACGGATGATGTAATTCTCCCAAGCACCAAGCTGTTTGTCCAAAACAGATTGAACCCTCTGACGAATGCAATCAACACCCTTTCACAACACAACAGTAACACAATAAGATCCATTACCCTAATTTTTGTATCCAACGCAATAAGAGAAAGAGAGAGAGACCCTTTTCAGATCTTGGGACTTTTGGGTGCCTTCGATGTTCAACTTCGTGGATGCGTCCCTGCAATTGAAGCTCACGTTGCATAATTTCCAGAATTATATTTCAAAAAAGTAATAGAAAAAAAAAGGAAAAGAGTGTTACTGATAGAAAAAATCGAAAGCTTCATCGAGAACATCGTCCACGTTGTTCAGAACTTCGTTACAGAAGAGTTGTGGGTTCAGATTGAGAGCATCAAACACCGCTTCACTCTCACTCCCTTCCATTCCCGCCAAATTCCCCATTTCCCTTTCAAAAACTCTTTGCTACTTCAACTAGTCTCTCACCCTCGCATAGCCGGGTCTTTTTCTTTTTTTATTTCTTTTAGAAAAATAATATAGTTTTATTATAATCATATATAACATATAGATATGTTAAATAAATAAAAAGTTGAATCATGTAAAAGAATTAAATAGTTATATTATCTTATGATAATATATATTAAAACAATAATAATATAATTATACACAATAATGATATTAAACACTCTTGTATGGTGCATTATATGTGAAAATAATATGTAAAGATAAATTAACAATAACAAAAGAGTGTAAGTAATTGAAATATGGTCCCTGGTAAATAAAAGTAGAATGTATGTAAAAAAATAAAATTATAAGCTATATTATGAAATATGAATGATTCTACACAAAATAGAAATAATATAAAGTTGATATTAAAATTTATAAATAAAAACACATCTAGATAGAAACAATTTAAAAGAAAAAAGATAATACAAAGTGATTATACGGGAGAATACATAAGTGATAAATATTCATTGTTAATTTTAAGAGAACAAATTGTTTTTTTTTTGTTAATGTTTGTTTAAGAAAATATAATAAAGATTTCTACTTGACATTACTATAACTAATTTATTTAGGTATGAAGTTTCATTTCAAATTATTTAAGGAGAAATACGAGAGGATGAAATTAATATAACAAAAAAAAACAACATAAGATATTATAGACAACATAAATGGTAGAAACATAAAATAATAAAAAAATAGGAAAGGTAAATGGAATAAAAGATGGAAAGACATGAAGCCGAAGGGAATAAAGTGTTCACACTATTATGATACCAGACTACACAAGATAAGTGGTGGTGGTGCCAGTTAAGCCTTGGTTCAAGATAAGAGGAGCTCAAAAACACTCAAAAAGAGACTATCTCAACTCGTTCTAGAAATGATTGAACATATTAACTTTACTCTAGAAAATATTCAATCCCTTACAAAGTGATGGAAAAACTCTCTTAAATAAACAAAGAGAGTGGTATTTTATTTACAAAAAAAAAATAACATTCTAAAAATTAGAGCAACCAAAAGATGAGATGATTTCCAAATCTTTATGAGACTATTTAATCTTCAAGAGATGTTAAAAAAGAACGTTTTTCTCTCCTATGCATCTCAAACCCTAACACTTTGTTCACTTGAATGAATTTGGGGGAGAATGATTAAATGGATTGGAGAGGATTTGAATTTAAATTTTTTTGTTATTTATTTTAGTGAATTTGGAGGTAAGTGAGAATAGATTTGAAAGTAATTTTTTTTAATCTGTTACATCAATCAAATCCAACACTAATTCTCACAAAATTTACTTTCAAATCCAGTCTCACTTACTTCCAAATCCATTCAAATAAACAACAAAAAAATTTACTTTTAAATCCTCTCAAATTTATTCAACCACTATCTCCGAAATCATAACAAAGCTTCAATCTTCTGTAGGTCTCATCAAATATTCAAAAAAATGTTTTTTTTTTTCTCTTCATGTAAATGTATGAATTTTTCACACAGATAACACAACGTGAACTTCTTTTCAGCAAAATAACATATTATAGGTTTTATTTTTACCTGTATAATATGCTTTTTATTGTGCTAGTTGAAAAATTAGTTTTTGAGAAACCGAAATTTAAACATGTTTTTAGAGTTTTTGTTAAAAAGCCATACTAATGCAAAAACATGTTTAAAATTAAACCGAATTAATAAAGTAGAAAAAGTAAAAGTGAACTATCTGGGTAAATAAAACCTACATTATCTGAGCATAAAATATACATACAGTGAATTCAATGTAAACATATATATGCACATTAACAATTATATGGATTGATAGACTGAAAACTTTCATGTTTTCTTCAATGAGATGCATTCCCAGTTCCCACTAAAATTTGATAAGTTTAACTTGCTGGAATTCTTTTAATTATTGCTCCTTGTAAATTTTTGTTGTTTATGCATTTTCTGAACAACTAACTACCGATTCTTGACCAGTTTGCTCTAATATTCTACTTACTTGCAGTTGTTCAATCAAACTATATTTATATGCTGGAGTATTTTGACAGAATTGTGTAAATATTTATTTTAATTTTAATTATATATATTATATTATTTTTGTATGCGACATATGTAATGAACAAATTTTAAAGAAACTATATATAATGTAACTTATATGAAAGTGAAAAAAAAACTTGTGAAATAAACGTATAAAGTTATTTTAAATGGATAATTAGTTTTTCTTTTTATTTTTTTTATCTTATGCGTAAATAATAGAATAATAATTCTGAGACCAAAATATGAAAAATTAAAAGAATTATTAATGGTAAACTAAAAATATGTGCTGCACACAAGGTGTGTGAGTATGCCATCCGTTTTAGTGGTAAACTAAAAATTAAAAGAAATTAACATCATTAAACATTAAACATTAAATCCATTAATTTCGTAATACAAGGCTTTATCATAATCAAACTTTAAAATATAAACTCAAACCAAAATCTCGTGTAAAGAAAAAATATATTAAACATCCTAAATTTTTTTAATCTCATTGTCGTAAGTAGAATATGAATATTTTTTTTCATCAGTGTACGAATTTATTTTCATTATAATTTAGTTTTTTTATTTTTCATATAATATGATACAAGGCGAAAAAATATATTAGGTGAAACAGTTTCAAATTAGAACTGATACAGAGTGATGTGATGTATCCACAGTGCGCCACGTGGAACACCACACCATGCAGATCGCATATCCGTAATTACACTCCCATCCCTCCCACAGTTACACTAAAAACTGCTTTTGTTTCCACTTTTAAAACAGTTCCTATTCATCCACAACGTTTCACCAAACATTCATTCTTCAACTTTTCATTAACTTCCTCGTAATTTGCCAACATGTTCCGCATAAGCAACACCGTTGTCGGCGCGCTCAACATTCTCTCCTTGCTCCTGGGCGTGGCCGCCGTGGCCTCCTCCGCTTACATCCACATCCGCGGCGGCTCCGACTGCCAGAAGGTCCTGCAGGTGCCGCTTCTAGTCGGCGGCATCTTCGTGGTGCTGGTCTCCACCTTGGGAATCGTGGGGTCGCTGTACCGTGTCAACACTGCGCTCTACGCCTACCTCTTCGTCACGTTTGCGCTCATCGTGGGCCTCGCCTTCTTCACCGTCTTCACGCTGTTCGTGACGAACAGGAAGGTGGGGCAGCAGGTTTCCGGCAAGGGCTACGGCGAGTACAGGGTGGCCGATTTCTCGCACTGGCTGCAGCGCTACGTCGTCAACAACAAGAACTGGGACGAGGTGAAGAGTTGCTTGATGGACGCGCACGTGTGCCAGAACCTCGCCATCAACGGTGGCCGCAACAACGACTTCCTCATTTTCAAACACCTAACAACAACGCAGGTTTTATATCTCTTCTTTCTCCTTCTAATCTCTTGTTAACTTCATTAATTAAGAATAAATAATTCATGTAAGTTTATCATTCACTTGTTATCATCTTGCAAACAGTGTTCGAATCATGGTGATTAAATTACGTTATCATGGCTAGGGTTGCGACATGCAAATGCATTTGAATGACGTACGTAGCAATTACTTAACTTTTTGTATTTTGTTTTTTCAGTCTGGTTGTTGTAAACCACCAGCGTATTGTGGGTTCATAATGAAGAATGGTACGTTCTGGGAAGTGCCAAAAGAGGGTCCAGCAGTGAATAATTCTGACTGCAGCACTTGGAACAACAGAGAAGACAAACTGTGCTACGATTGCAATTCATGCAAGGGAGGAGTTTTGGCTAACATAAGGAACCAATGGAGACGTCTCACTGTGTTCAACGCATGCGTGCTTTTGGTAGTCACTGCCATATATGCCTTGGGCTGCTACGCCATCAAGAACAACAGATTCGATTCACAGTGCAACCACCCCAAAACACCATTTCCTTGATTCCACTAGTGTTCTTGCATGCAACATATACAGAGAACTAGTTTGTGTCCTCATTATCTAGGTTAATTACTTAGTTATAATGTTTGAAGTGCATTAGTATTAATTGTTTGGACGTCAGTATGTGTGTATATTATGTATTGTTTTGTGGTTTTTTGTAATGCTGGATATTGTTACTCAATTTCTTTAATCCTTTTGTTATTCGTGGCATTTAGCGTTTAGATCTGTTTTGAATTGTGTTCATTTCTTGAACTATTTGTTCTGGTTTCAATCATCAACGCTTGATGATGTTAGCCTTCATATCATATGTTTCCTACTCAGTCGTGTTCATCCTTCAATGAAAACTGCTTTCCAGGTTTTTTGTTAATTTTAATCATTTATGTCAGCATCGAATTTTTATGATTTTAATAAAGTGATATATTTACTTTTTTTATATTTTTAATAAAATAGCACTTGCTTTTCTTATTTTATGTAAAGATATTATATTAACTAAAACTTAAAATAAAATTATGAAAACTGGGAGTAAAGTTTAAAACATAAAATTTATTTTTTTATAAGAAAATATAGATATTTAGTTTCGTATAATAAAATACAGGAGGTGAAAATCACTTTATTAAAGACATAAAATAATAGAAATGTTTTGTTTACTTAAAAATAATAGAAAATAATATTTATTTCAGAAATTACAAGGAGTGAATGATATCTACTATTATATAGAAAGGATTTTCCATTTTTATATATAATTTTTTTCAATTTATTTTTTAGGTATTGTTTTTTTTTTAAAATTAAAGTAATTTCTTAAGGGATCCTTTTTCGTTTGACCATTAACAGTGATTTATATTTATTTTTATAATTATAATAATAATAATTGTATTGTTATTTGTTATGCTAAAAAAATATGGATACAACGTTTCACTAGATAAGGAGGTAAGTGTTTATCTCAAGTGTTATTTCTTTATTTTTATATAATAAGTTTTCTTTAAAATTCACGGGCTGTCGGGAAATATCTAGGGTGTTTCTTCCTGTACCCCATCAAAATTCTCCCTACCCTACCACAAGCTTATGGAAATATTGATCCGAAACAGATGTTTTACCATGTAAAGAGTCGTAG